TTCTTTTTATCCTCTACAAGAATCTGTATTTCTTATTTAATTTCAATCTATTGTGCTTTCGATACAAAATGAAAAGTGAAGATCTTCGAAAAGTAGTTTTTCGTAAATACGAAGATGGTGATGGTGTTTGCAAGATCTTTCGCGATTTAAATGGTTCTTTGGGGTTAAATACTATCAAAAGATGGTGTAAGATGGTCCGTTACACTGGTTCCATTCAGTTGTCAACATCTCCAGATGCTCCACGTCTTGCTCGAACCAGTAAAACAATTGAGAAAGTGAAGCATAAACTTGATCGAAAGAAAATGGTGACAACTCGACGTTTGGCTAAAAAATATGGTATATCCAAATCAAGTGCTCATCGAATATTGACGGAGGATCTTGAACTCTATGCCCACAAGATGACAATTAAACCAAAAGTTACGGAAGTACAAAAGAACAAACGAAAAAAATTCGTTAATTGGATTGGTAATAACTTTCGAAAAGAGGACACGATGCGTATCTTGTTTTCAGATGAAAAAATGTTTGATCTCGACGACATATATAATTCCCGGAATCAGCGTATTTGGGCTGCTAGTCGAGATGAAGCAGACGAACAAGGTGGTACTAAAATGAGACAGAAATTTCTACAAAAATTCATGGTCTGGCCTGGTGTTTGCTCCAAAGGAGTTACACCATTAGTCATTCTCGACCAACGAAAAGTAGATCATGTTGAATATATCGAGAAAGTTCTTCCAATTGCACTTAAATATGGAAATGATACTTTTGGAGAACACTGGACACTTCAACAGGACGGTACGAAGCCTCATGTCCATCACCTAACACAAAAATGGTGTCGGGATCAATTTCCATTGTTCATAGATAAAAATCATTGATCACTGAATAGCCCGGATTTAAATCCATTGAACTATTGTATCTGGGATGAATTTGCACAGCGTGTCAACTGGGAGTAGGTATGCACCAGTGCCAGTGTAGAACTGGGGACTGGGTCCCAGTCCGACTGGGTGACCCGGTCCGACTGGGTATCCAGTCCGACTGGGATACCAGTCCGACTGGTACCCAGTGCGACTGGGTGACCCAGTCGGACTGGGTATCTATATAACTCAACGCATTATCAAATAAATAGGGGTACTCTTCGTAAGCCAATATGAAGAGTGTAGGGATACCCTCTATAAGTCACTATAGGATATATAGGGATACCCTCCATAAGTCATTATAGGGTATATAGGCGTACTCTTTGTAAATCATTATAAGGTATATAGTAGGGATGCAACGGTGTTCGGCTATCGGTTCAAAGCCGGTTTTCACAAAAAACAGCATTTTCTAAGAAAATAACGAGTTTTTATAAAGGTTGACGAAAGTATATCGGGGTCGGAGAATCCGAATCTATAATCAGTTTTCCGAAATTTTGAATTTTATTTTTTTCGGTTAGGGGAAGGGTTTTTTAAGAAAGTAAGGATTTTCTATAAAGGTTGACGAAAGTAAACCGGGATCAGAGAATCCGAATCTGTAATTAGTTTTTCGAAATTTTGAATCTTATTTTTTTTGGTTAGGGAAGGGTTTTTTAAGAAAGTAACGATATTTTATAAAGGTTGACGGAAGTAAATTGGGGTCGGAGAATCCGAATCTGTAATCAGTTTTTCGAAATTTTGAATTTTAGTTTTTTTGGTTAGGGGAAGGGTTTTTTAAGAAAGTAACGATTTTCTATAAAGGTTGACGAAAGTAAACCGGGATCAGAGAATCCAAACCTGAAGTCGGTTTTTCGAAATGTTGAGTTCCATTTTTCCATATAAAATTTCTTTTTTAGAAAAAAGTGGTTTTTGAAAAAACAACGATTTTTTTCTGGAACATAGTTCTTTAGGAAAGCCATCTCTTTCAGAAAGCGATGTTTTCGTGGAAAAGCCAAACTCATAATTTCGAAAAACTGATTACAGATTCGGATTCTCCGACCTCGATTTACTCTCGTCAACCTTTATAAAATATCGTTACTTTCTTAAAAAACCCTTTCCTAACCGAAAAATATAAAATTCAAAATTTCGGAAAACTGATTATAGATTCGGATTCTCTGACCCCGATTTACTTTCGTCAACCTTTATAAAATATCGTTACTTTCTTAAAAAAACCTTCCCCTAACCAAAAAAAACTAAAATTCAAAATTTTGAAAAACTGATTACAGATCCGGATTCTCCGACCTCGACTTCCTTTCGTCAACCTTTATAAAATATCGTTACTTTCTTAAAAAACCCTTCCCCTAACCAAAAAAACTAAAATTCAAAATTTCAAAAAACTAATTACAGATTCGGATTCTCCGACCTCGGTTTCCTTTCGTCAACCTTTATAAAATATCGTTACTTTCTTAAAAATCCCTTCCGTAACCAAAAAAAATAAAATTCAAAATTTTGGAAAACTGATTATAGATTCGGATTCTCCGACCCCAATTTACTTTCGTCAACCTTTATAAAGTATCGTTATTTTCTTAAAAAATGCTGTCTTTTGTGAAAACCGGCTTGAACCGATAACTGTTGGTGCGGTTACCGTAGTTGGACCGATAACCGTTCCTACGGTTTATCGTCGCCGTTGGATCCCTACTATATACCTTATAATGATTTACAAAGAGTACACCTATATACCCTATAATGACTTATGGAGGGTATCCGTATATATCCTATAATGACTTATAGAGGGTATCCCTATATACTTCATAATGGGTTACGAAGAGTACGCCTATTTATTTGATAATCCGTTGAGTTATATAGATACCCAGTCCGACTGGGTCACCCAGTCGCACTGGGTACCAGTCGGACTGGGGTACCAGTCGGACTGGTACCCCAGTCGGACTGGTACCCAGTCCGACTGGGTACCCAGTTAACTGGCACTGGTGCATACCTAACTGGGAGAAAGTAACATCAAAACCTACACTAATTGATGAATTAAAACGTGCTGTAAAAAAAATTCAACAAGATGTTGTCTTACAAAGCTGTCCATGTTGGACTGTTCGTTTACAGCGTGTTTTAAAAAATAATGGATGTTATTCAAAAAAATAAAAAATATGTCATCTTGTAGAGCTTGAAAAGACGAATCTTTAAAAAAAATTGACCCCAAATGGATTGGTTTTGATAAAGGTATCAGCAAAATACTGATGAGCCCATTCTTTCTGGGACACCCGTTAGTAGACAAAAATTTTTTTCTATAACTTCTGCAGCTTTATTTTGATACTTTTTTTTTATTATGATATTAAAAATTTGGCAAATGAATATATAGGAAATGTTTAGATGCTGGAGCATTAAATGTTATTATTCTTTTTTTTCTTTGCAGCTAAAGATGCATTTCTTCTTGAACAACAACAATTGTGAAGTAGACCATCAAAAAAGTTCAGGGATCAATTAGGTGAACCGCCAGTGGTCAACAGCAAGCTTCGTTCAGGCAGTCATAGTAAAAACAAACACAGAACTGGATAATCTCTTTTGGGTGTTTATCATTTACTTTGTTCACATTATTTTTCTATCTCTTCTAGTCATCCTATTAGTATACTGAAAAAACGTTCTATACATTTTTTTTTAAGTTTAAAACTGATAAACTAGATTTTCTTTTCTTTAATAAATTTTGTTTCATTTCTGCTCTATCGTTCTTTACCTTGCTGGTTATTATAGCTTTTTGCTATATATATTACTGTACTTTTTTTTGTTCATTGTGATTTTTGTGAAACAGTACGCTTTTTTTTTCAGGATTTTTTGTTAAGATGAAAACTGTGACCTTTAGTTGTCACAAACACAATTACTTTGTTTAGCAAGTAATTATCTTCGTATGTTTGGTGATTCACATTTTCTTCTTCATAATACTTATATTCCTTTTTTGTTCTCATTTATTTTCTCATAGATATTGCTGAACAATATTATTCTTGTTTTTTTTGTGAGTTAAGTTAAAGGACCATTGAACAATAATAAAGCGATGAAAAATAAACTTAAAATAATAAGAAATGAAAATTATTTTTCATTATGAGTAATGAAGAATGGAATAAACGAAGATTAGGCAGAGTTATAGCCAATAGACCGATTTTACCGGTTTCCCTCACTTTCTACGGATGTAGATGAAAAGAAAAAAAGGCATATGCTTGCGCATACAAAAAGAAAGAGAATTTGGTAAAGTTGGTTTACAGTTATTAACTCGGAGATAAAGTTGCTATCGAAAGTGTCGTATAATATCGTATACGATTTCTATGTTTATTTTTATCAATTTGTGCTTCCTTTTTAAAATAAAGTTTTTCTTCTTCTTTTGCAAAATGCAAATGGCTACTGCTATTGAAATTGATAATTTATCATCAATGATTCAAGATCTTGGGATAGAAGCTTTTATGATTGTAGCACGATCGGACGCTACTTTTCAACCTGTACCAACAACTCCACGAACACTTCAGTTCTATGATAAAGTCGAAATTTTTACTGGTATCTTGAATTTCCATTTAGCTCCAAAGATATTCGTCATAAAAGATGTCGAGTTGACCTTAAATCTTATCGAATGTAACCGTTCAGTTGTTGAGCGGCTTCTTAATTTTTCTTCACTGAATGATATTATTCGAAAATTTAAAGAATATGAAACAATAACATCACAACAAGTCAACATGGTTAATTCAAAAGTCCTCATGCCATTCACAAGTATCTGTATTCAATGCAAAAAAAGTATTAACTGATTATGGATTTGCTTATTCTACTTGAGTACTTTATATTGATCGAATTGAAGAAGCGTCTGTTATTCATGCACACTGTAAGCCATGTCACTTGAAGTATAGCTGTTCGAGTGTTGAACAATGTGGCATGAGTAATTTAGCTTCAAATTATCTGTTGGATGCTTTTTGATATATACTTAGGGTATACCAAAAGTTCTGATCACAGTTTTTAAAATTTAATAAAGCAATAAATATTGAATATTTTACTAAGGCAATATATAGTATAACGTCTCGTCTTTAATAATATATAGAGCAACTCTCTCTTAGACTTAGTTCTAACATCCTTTCAGACTAAATCTATAGT